GGTAAGTGTTCTGATAAGGGATTTCAAGAGCAGTTAACATGTGTCATCATACTGCATGTTATGGCCCCCTACTTGCTCCTGTGCAAGAGCCTGTGCCTAGAGTCAATACAGCTTCCAAGCCCTGTCCTGAAGAGTCCATACTCTCCAGTGCTCCATGATCAGTATTGAAGAGAATCCTTTAAATCCTCTTGGGCTCCAGTGCATATCTCTGTGGTACCATCATGAAAATTTGACCATCAAGAAAACAGAATAAAATATCCATTATCCCCAAACATTGGCCACACTGATAATTGCCTCTATCTTTTCTTTTCTTTTCTTTCTTTCTTTCTTTCTTTCTTTCTTTCTTTCTTTCTTTCTTTCTTTCTTTCTTTCTTTCTTTCTTTCTTTCTTTCTTTCTTTCTTTCTTTCTTTCTTTCCTTCCTTCCTTCTTTCTTTCTTCTGATGTGTACTAGTGGCAAATTAAAAGTACATTGGCTGTACTGTATTTGTAAACTTTCTTATTGCTATGGAAGCCAAAACAAATAGAACAAAATTGATCTACCTGAGGAATAGATGGGTAGAGAGAAGGGTTCCCCGGTTCAATCACCATTAGAATTTTGAACTTGCCCTCTCTTGAGAGGTGTGAGGACCACAACCATTTCTTATGGATTCTACACAATTTCCAAGGCTGTTCAGAATCTTCCAGTCACATCTGTCCTTCTAAAGTTTGGAATATTCTTGCCTGGAAAACAAGAATCCCAGACCAAAGACAGCAGTCATCATGAGAACCCCTTGCTTGTGAAGCCTTTGCCACTTCTTCCAGAATCTCTAGACCCTTAATCATTACCAGGCACATCTGGGGGATAGACCCTGAGGGTACAAGAAAAGTCATAGCTGAAATTTCAGGTGTGCCTATAAGAAGGTTAAAAATAGCCTGCTACTGCTCAGAGTCAGTGGCTCAGGCTGATAGTGTGGAGTATGCAGAGGAAAGATAGTGGCTATCTCTTGTTCTTAGCAATTCCCACAAGTGGCTGCTGAAATCTCCCTTGCTCCTCTATGTCCTATCACATGGAGGGACCACAGCTGACCTGACATCAAAGCTCTGTACAAACACTGGGGCTGAGAGAGCACTAAAGCCTGAATGGCAGGGACAAGAGATTAGAGATAGGCTTGTAAACTCAAACAGGCTTTGGGGATTGTGGATCATATCACAAGACCAGGTCATTGTTGATTTCCGACTGTTGCTATGAGCAGATGATCATCCCTATCATTACTTTGGACGTCAGCACATTGAGATACGCCAGGCAACTGAATGAGACTAGTTTTCCCAGGACAGATGTATTTGCCAGGAAAATGGAAAAGGGGAAAGGGATGGGGACAGTGAGTAAAACAGGAAATGGTCCTGACCAAAGGGCACTAAGGCCAGATCCACCTCAACCCTAATTTGGAATTCTAAATTCTCAATTAATGCTTTTTTTCCCCCTCAACTTAAAAATGTTCACCAATGGATCAACACCTACTTTAATTAGCATCCTTAAACCTCTGCCTCATTGCAAACGTGCCAGGAAAATGGTCATCCCTTCTGTTATTTATTGTTCTTTGGTGAGGATTCTCACAGTTTGGGTGGATCTCACAGAGTAGCAAACAACCAGCAGCAAGCTAAATCAACATGGTATGCTGTTATGGTTTGGTTATGAGTTGCCCTCCAAAACTCCTATGTTAATGCACGAATATTCAGAGGGGGAATGACTGGATTGTGAGAGCTGTAACCTGATCAGTACATCCTAGTTTGAATGGAGAAAGTGGAATTGTTAACTGTAGGTAGGTGGGGCATGGTTGGAGGAGGTATATTCCTGGGGGTGTTCCTTGTGGTTCCTTTCCCTCTCTCTCTCCCTCTGAATCCTGGCAGCTATGAGCTCCTCTGCTAAGCTCTCTTCCGCCGTGATGTTCTCCCTCATCGTGATCCCAGAGCAATGGAATCAGCCAGAGACTGAACCTCTGAAACTGTGAGCCAAAACAAACTCTTTCTCCTCTAGGTTGTTCTTGTTAGGTATTTTGGTTATAGTCAAGAAAAGTAGAACAACATATATACCCAGATGGCCAGGGCAAGGTTCTCAAACCGCCTACAAGGGGGTTCAGGTATGTCTGTATCTGCACTGGAGAAGAACTTCTGTACAACTGGGAGCACGTCACAAACCACTGCCAGAGCAGCCACTGGGGAAAAGAAGAGGTCAGGACTTAGGAGCTGGGCACACACTTGTAATCCCAGAGGCTTGGGAGGCTGAGGTAGATGGATCACAATTGCAAAGCCAGCCTCAGCAAAAGCAAGGCGCTATGCAACTCAGTGAGACTCTCTCTAAATAAAATACAAACTAGGGCTGGGGGTGTGGTGAAAAAGCATCCTTGCTAAAAGACTTTGTCCTTGTCTCATGTTTGGTGTATGCAGTGTCTCTCTTGGTCATCAGGGCCGTGGGTCCCGCACATGGGGAGCCACAGCCAGCACCATCAATGGAGACCTTCCTGTGGTGGCAACATGGAGTGACAGAATGAGGGCTTAGGAGTCAGATGGTTCTCTGATGACCCTGATGACCTCACGTACTCTCTTCCACTGTAGCTTCTAGAATTGAATGTGTTTCATGCCAAGCAGACATGGACTGTGGATAGACATCTGCAACAAGGGACACAAACTCAAAGTCCTTAGGGAGTAGGCAGGAATGTAAATGTGTGGAACTGGCCTACTAGTGGTGACACGGGAGATTCTTGTTCATCTAGAGAGGGCTGCTTACTCCATGCTCATGGGTATTCTATCAAGGAAGGTCAGAATTCAAAAACTGTCCCATTACCCTGCTAGAGAGAGCACATGATTCACTTGGGCTGGGGAGTGGGCTCTCACATTGTTCAGGCCAAGCACAGCATCTGTCATGCCATCAGTCAGTGTGCCACTTCTAGTTCACATTACCTCCTTCACTTACCCAAAACACAAGTCACCATCTTCCTCCTTTTCAGAGGGAAATAATTACATTTCAATGAGACTAAAAATTTCTTGCTAGGGTTCAGATATGGTTTGAGTGTGACCCTGTATTGGAACCTGAGTCCCTAGTGTGGTGATGTTGACGTAGCAGAATGTTTTTAAGAGGTCAGGCCTAGATGGAGGTAATATTAGACCATGGGGCATTGCCCTAGGAAGGTATTAACGCTGGTCTCAAGAAATGTGTTAGTTCTTTCATCTGTCCCTGAATCCCTCTGGCTTCCTCTCTCATCATGGGAGTTATCCTCTTGCACATCCTCTTGCCATGAGACCCTCAGATGGGATTGCCAATTTTGATCGTTGGCCTCCAAAACTATGAGCCAAATAACCTCTTTACTTTATATATTATTCAGTCTTTGTGTTTTTTTATTATAGCAACAGAAATGGACTAATACAACTCAGTTGCTCAATTGTGATGGAGCTTTGATTTTAGAGTTTTCTCCAAATCTGTGTCAGCAGAGTCAGACTTGGCCAATTTTCTTATTCTATGACCTCCAGAAAGCATGTGAAATCTATAGATTTTGACCATCACCTCCTTTTGAATGACTCCCTAGGTCTCTTCCCCTCACCCTATTCTGTCTGCCAAAATCCTACCATTGTTGTTGAAGATGCTGCTCTCATTTAGCTTCCTCCTCACTAACAGCTTCAATATGGGGATCTTGGCAATATCACAAAGACAGGTCACCAAGCTGTTTCTTTGGAGTTCCCCATCAGAACTAGTTGGAGAAAGAGACCTAAGCTGATTTTGTTCAACTACATCTTTATCTTGTACCCTGTTCAGTATTAAGTCAGTTTCTCTGAGGGCTAATGCCAACTTGGCACAGAAGGAAAGCTCTCTAACCAAAACCTTGACTGAGGCAGAAAGCTATGAACTACTTATTCAGGGGGAAAAGAGTTCTCATGTGGCCACAGGTTGCCTTAGGAGTTGTGGCTTTGCCCAGGTTTTCAGCTGAAAACTAAAACATATAAGGACTTCAAACTGTTTTCTCAAAATCTCCCAGTGAGTGGTGGTGGCCTCACTGGGATTTAGGTCGCAGAGCCCTCCTTACAGCCAGTTGGGCTCGCTGACCACTAGACCACACAGTCTGTGTTTAACGTGTACTCAGCAAACCTCAAGCTCCAGGACTGAAAAGAGAGACTTTCCAAAAACAGAGCTCTCTTTGTGAACAATTCAGCAAAAATTCTCTTTCCAGCTGTGAGTTGGGATTCATGTTGCAAATGTTGGTGTTAATTAAAAACATCCACCTTCTACAGTTTCAACAACAAGGCGAAGGCACCATGCAGATTGCATTCCTAAGCACCCCTCTCTGTAGCTCTTATAAATACACGTTTTATTTATGACTTGGATTGCTGGGGGTTCTGACAGATCTTATCAGTCCTAATGAAATAGGACCAAAGGAATAGGTGAGAGGAGCCCAAATTGCTTCAGAGCAAAGCTTACCACCAGAAGAAGAAACAAAAACAATGCTCCTTGTTCAGAGCATCTAAAGTGTTCGTCTTTCCATATTCACATCAGGAACTGCACCTAGCTGAAATCAAATGTCTACCTGTTGAGTCACTGAAATTTTTCTTCATGTGGCTTAGTCTTTCAGACATGAATAACGTATGACAAGGCCAAGGACATTCCATAAAGGGTGACACAACATGTTCAATAATCAGGAAGCTGGATGACCTCCCTGTATTCCTGTGACAGTTCACCCTTTATTAAGAAATCTTTATTAACATGGTCCTGAACTAGTGGGATCGAAAAACTGGATGGCACTTCTTCTTGTGTGTCTCTAGCTGGTTAATCTGTCCTGTTTTACCATATGATCCAGACAGGAAAGAATCAAGCCAAAACCACATCATTATGAATGAATTTCTTTGTTTTTAATTTCACACAGTTTAAAATACAATATGAAATCAGGCTACAGTATATAAAAAACTCTCCAGCAAAATGATGTGCCAGCATCAGCTACTAAAATAAACAAACAAAAAAACTCCCCGGTAAGAATTTTTTTTTTTTTTGCATTTAAAAAAAAAAAACACATAGACACTTACATCGCTACATCTCTAAGCTACCTCAGTTCTGATTTTTTAAAAAGCACCTGCTTTTCCTTCTTTTTTTTATCTTGCTTTTAAATTTTTGACATTTAAAAAATATAAATTATATGAAAATACAAGTTGGAAAATAGTCAAACACAATATAACATCTTTTTCACCCCAATACTTCTTAGCTTTAAAAAAAAAGTTTTCTTTAAAAAAAGTTCAATAACTGAGGCAGTATTCCTGATAGAGATAATTTTATTTTAATATATATATTCCATATATGTATATGTATACATATACTTATGGTTCCTTGAAACTTCTTTGGAATGTAGATAAGAGTTCAACAAATTTATATAGACCCCAACAGAGAAAGCAACATGCACAGCATGACTAGAAAAGAGGTGTATTTTTCACCATGAAAGTTAGGCAGGTTAATGCTTTAAAACCCAGAGTGTTCATCTCCAAAGTGAGGAAGAGCGCCTCTGATCTTTGAATGCTACCATCAATCCTCTTGGGCACAAAATCAGGGCTCCATGTAGGGACATCCCTTCCTTGAATGGAGAAGGGAATGCACGTGACTCTTGAGCCCCAAACCAAAACCCACATTGGTTAAGGCATTTCCAAGAAAATTAGGGTTTCACCCAGTGAGACCAGATTTGCCCGTCCTTCCTCTGAAGTTAACGTGTTTTTAAAAAGCATAAATGCAACAATGCTGCTACATTTCCAGTGTATAAACCACCCACCACTCTTCCTGGGATGGTCTCTGGCCTTTGGACAAGAGGGGAGAAAGCATCTGGCCAGATGGACAAAGCTGTCTGAACTAATATACTATCTACAAATCCAGAAAACAGTGGCCCTAGAGAAAGGGCATCTTAGTAAAGAAGCCGGCTGGGGAGCGCTAGGAGGCACTTACATCTTATCTGCTATTGGGATTGCAGGTGTTACACAGACTCAGCAGGGGAGTTTTCAGCATCAATTTCATAGAAAAGGCTGATGACTTGAGAAAGTGATTTTATGCCTGGCTGCAAATAGCAAGCAATGACCAATACCTGGCCTTGGTTCTACTCCCACCCATTATCAACATGTGGAAAGACTTAACTACAAAACCTAGGTATTAGTTCGGCCACAGTTTTGCATGTCTGCAGACACACACGAGCACGCGCACACACACAAACACATACACACACTTTGCCAGTGCCCAACAAAGATCACATAATCTAAAAGAAAACAATGTAGTCCAAATGGTTCCACCTAACACTCCCTGAGCAGCTCCAAACATATTTTGAGAGCTTCATTAAGGCACCTGCATCTGTAAGATCAAAATACATAGCTGGGACAATTCTGCCTTTACTTTGCGTGTGGATGGTCCAATCGATCAGTATGAGGATACTCATGGATCACAGAGCTTCTTTCCTGAAAATTTAGGGTCTGTAAGGGGATCTGGGAGTTAGCAATCAACTTTCATGAAGATATGCTAGAAGGTAGTTAGTGCTTCCAGTTTCTTAGCTAAGTCCCTTTCTCGAAAGGGACCAGCCCTGAGAAGCTCATCTTACTTGTTTCTCCCTCTTATTCATGGAAGTCCGCTGTCATCCTTTTAACTGGGGTGGAAAAAGTGGGAGAAATTCTAATTGCATCAGGCACATTTCCTCCCCAGTTAAAGGTTGGTTTTTGCCCCCAAACCTCATTTTCAGAGCCCCTCCTCACAACCAGCAGAAAGATGACTGCCACGGTTGACTGTGTTTGTGTTTAAACTTCGGGAGAACTAAAAATAAATTCAAATCTCATGGACCACCTTATTTTCTTCACTCAAGCTCCTGTTCCCTCTGCCTTCAAGTCATCCCTCCCTTCTGCAGTGAACCTTCACCTACCCTCTACCAAGACAAGAGATTCAAGCACGAGGCCCTAACACCATCCAGGTCCTTCCTGTCCTCTGTGTGCTCGGTCTCACCTGACATCCTACCTGACTAGCTTCGGTTCTTCAAAGGAAAGCCTGTACATCTCTTCCGAGACAGCCAAGTCACATTTTACAGAAATGCTCTCTTAATTTTCATGGCCTCTAAAACTCAGCAAGACTACACTCTTTGTGTCTGAAGTTACTCTTTCACTCACTTATCAGAAAGCTGTACATTCTGCCTACTGAATAACAGAGTGGGATGGGGGGGGCAATAAATGTGGGGATTCTGGGAAAAGAAAACATAAAGGATAAATTATAAAGTGTTGATTTGGAATGACATGCATTTTAGGACTTACTTTTTAAGACTAGAAGGGTAATGCCCATGCATACAGCTTCTACTCTAAGTCACTTATGTTACAGATAGAGACTGACTCAAGAACCCAGTTCATCTTCCCTCTTTGATTTCCTTTCCCCAACTTCAATAGCGTGCCAACGTTGATTATAGTCTAAAACCAGGACTGCAAAATACATTCAGTTCAAAGACTTAATGCTTATTAGCTGAACATTAAGTCCAAACCCAAGACTTCAATAGTGACAAACTAAGTAAAGGGGTGTGATAATTATTTTTAAATTATTCATGAAATTCACATGTGCAGTTCTCCTGTACCCAAATCAGCATTAATATTTCCTTCATATATAAGTCACATGAATTTGGGATCCCTGATCTCAGTGACAGAGCTTCACTTTTCCAATGGGGTCTATATAAACAGTTTTCTTTCATTATGACAAAATCCTCAGTCAGCAAATAAGAACAAACTTGTGTGATACTGCAATACTGAGACCACCTTAGAGCTTAAGACGATTTTTTTAGGAAAAAAAAAATACTGGCACAAAATTTAATAAAATCAATTTTAACGCAAAAACAGTTTTGGCCCCCTCCCCCACTGAAATCCATCTCTGTTTCAAAAAGTAGAGCAAAAGGTAAAATTCTTGGTTTTTAGTGCATCCCCCAAAGAAAATGTTTTTATCCCCCCTCCTTTTTTCCCCCTCCCAGATTTAAAAACAAAAGCTACCCAACTGCCTTTCATTAGTCTCATGACTCTGGATATGACAATTTCTCTTTCTATTGGGTCTGTTAAAATTCAAGATGCATTTTTTTTCCATAGGTGAAGTAAAAAAAAAAAAAAATTACTGGACATGTTAGTCTCTTCCTCCTTTAACTCAGATCCTTCAAGCTTCTAAAAAGACCCTTTTTTCTGTCCTGAATATTTACTCAAGAATGTCTTGCCCCACCCACCCCACAAGTCCTGGCTTTCCCTTTGTGACCACGTACAATGGATTACAGCTGCAGCTCCCTTAATTCCCACCCCTGAATGTAAAAAAATGAGTTCTGGAAAATAAAAAATAGAATAACAATTAAAAAATAGGAGTCCAACCAAAGTGGTTGTTCTTTGCAAGGTGTCAGCAGGGTCCCCCAGTCCCTTCCTGGTCCATCACTCGTCGGCATCCGGCTTGACATCCAGCATGGCGTGGAGTTCCTCAGGGGTGTATCCCAGCAGGCTCTGCAGATCACACACAAAGCGGTATACGTAGCGTTTACCCGCCGTCTTGTGGATGATGTTTTTGTCATAATAGTAGCGAAGGCCACGGCTCAGTTTCTCGTAGTTCATCTTGGGTTTGTTTTTTCTCTTTCCCCATCTCCTGGCCACCTGAAATTTAAAAAAATAAAAATTGAAAAAAAAAATTAAGAGGAGGAGTGGGTATAAAGCTATAGGATAACTTCAAAATATGTTTATTATATCTATGCCTATTCATGATGGCCTGTGATGTTCAAATAAGATGAGATTCATGGACATATAGAAGATATTTTTCTGAACTATCTCCTCTGAATTTCATTTTTATTTTTTTTTAAATAAATTCTTACTTTAATTGACACATGATAACATTTATGGGGTGCAATGTAACTTTGGATACATGTACACAACATGTAATGATCAAGGTAACTGGCATGTCTACCACCTGAGACAGGTATGAGTATTTTCTATGGGGCCATTCAAATTCTCTCTACTACCTATTTCAATTAATTGTTGTCAACTTCACTCATCCTTCTGTGTGCTCATTAACCATCCTCTCTCCATCTCATCCCCTGACCCCATCCTAGGCTTCGGCAACCATCTTTACTGCCCACTTCATTTTATTTTCTTTCTTCTTTTTTTTTTTTTTATGGTACTGGGAGTTGAATCCAGAGCCTCATGCATGCTAGACAAGTGCTCTACCACTATCTCCTCAGCCCTAATGTCTACTTCTATGAGATTGACTTTGTAGTCTCCCACATGTGAGAACATGCAGCATTTGTCTTTCCTTGCCTGACTGATTTCATTAATATTATGACTGCTAGTTCCATTCACATTGCTGCAAATTACACAATTCTGAACTTTAGTTCTCCAGGGTTAGGTAGGGACAGTAGGAAAGTTAACTATTTAAGTTGATGAAAAAGCAGTGACCTTGAACTCCTAGGTAACTGGGTTACACTTTCTGATTTAGGGAAAAAAGAAGAACCACAATATAGACTCTTCTTTCCCCTTATTCTTAGAATTTTCTTGCTTAGAAAGCATAAAATATAATGCGGCTATATGAAAGGGAGGATCTGAGCTTCAATCCTACCTACCTTCAATAGCAGGAAGCATTTTTTTTCTATACTAGAGCACAAATATTTTCTCATGTCTGCCCAGAACAGAGATCTTGTCTCTGTTGTTCATTGTTTTTTATCATGGAAATTGGGCATGACACAGATCAACCCCTCAATAAGCATTTATGTAATGAAAGAATGAATGAATGAACAGCTGCACCAGTCTCCCAAGGCCTCTTGAACTGTCTGGCCCCTACCATCCACAAAGCTACTGTGCTAGGAAGAGGACAAGGTCAGGGAAGGCAATTTTGTTGACAAAGGGCCTACTATGTGCCAGGCACTTCAAGTGTACATCAGTTAATCCTGGAAAACAAATGGGCACTGTGGATGTTTTCTGCTTTCCCAACAATGAAACTAATCCTTCTGTATTACAGAACTCTAGAAGTTATCTTTCTGCTTTCCCAACAATGAAACTAAGGCTTGGACAGGCTGCATCACTTGCTCAAAGTCATACAAGCAGCAAGGAGCAGAGCTGCAATTGCAATCCTAGGAAATGTCACCTAGATCTCACAGCCCCTTCTCAGGGTCCCCTCTCTCATTCCTCCTCAATCCAGGCCTTGAAGGTCACTTCTTTCTTACCTCATCTGGGTCAGAAAGCTTGAATTCCCAGCCATCTCCTGTCCAGCTGATAAAAGACTGACAGGATTTATCAGTGAGTAATTCCAGAAGAAACTGCCACAGCTGGATCGGTCCACTGCCTAGAAACACAAGGCACAGTGAATCATTACACCACATACTCAGTGCTCTGGGCAAGCAGTCCCATTACACGGAATTCCCCCATCTCCCCTCTCCCAGTCCATTCAGCCAGGAGAAAAGAAGGCAACCTACAGGGCAAATGTTGGAGAAAGTACTCAGAGCCCAGACAGAAGGAAAAGGTGAAGATCTTCAAAGAAAGGAAGAAAGAGAAAATATACCAATTGCCTTATTTTGACTGATTTAAGATCAACCCATTTTTATTGCTAAGCAAACCCTAGAAAGAAATGTGGCTCCTATCTTCTTCTAAGATATCTAAGAAAACATAATCCCTTGTGCCATCAAAACCTAAGTATTATATTTGCCTTAAGAAGTAAGAAAGGTATTCAGGTAGGCACGTCTTTGCCAACCCCAGCAGAAGGCACAGCTCATGAGCACGCCTCTGCCACAGTGATCCTCTGACCCCTGATTTGTAAACAAAGAGGATCACTTTCTTCCTCTTGTAATGAAACAGATGTTGGGTGTCCTTCAGTTATAATATTCCTCTCTACTATTACTCCACCCTCCCAGGCCACTTAAGAAATGCAACTGCAAGCACCCAGAACGGAATGCATCATCGCTATCTGAGGAATTAACGTGCCACCCAAGGAGTCCCCAGGGGTTGGGTGAGGACTGTCTCAGACTGTCTTCATAGGTTCATGTATCTGAACACTCTCCCCATCTCTCTCTCCCTCTCTCATTTCAGCCATCCACACTGCCAGGAGTTTATTCTGGAAAGCCTGGTATACCCTTACAATAAATTTCCTATGCTAAAGATTTATGTCACTTAGTCTTCGTTTTAGGATAGATTTATTCTGAAATGACTATGCTGCCAGTGGTTCTCATCTAATTTATGGGTGTTGCTGGACAGACAACACGGGGTCCAGTCGCCTGCATTGCTTGTTACATGCCTACACTGCCTATGACATCATCTCAGAGCCAATCTGAGCAAGGAGGGGGCTAGGAATAGCCCATTGTGTAAATGAGGTCTGGGATTCCCCATTTCATGAGGAAACTTGATTTTCTAAGGCTCTAACCCTTCAAATATGTCTGATGCAACAGGAAATAATTTTTAGGATTCCTCTTCATCTTAAAAAATTCCCTTTACATTTATAAGAGCAGTTCCTTATTCTATCTTTTACTCCTTCAAGGCACCTTACCACACAGAATTTTACTTGTTCCTAAAATCTATTTTCCACCTCCCTGCTGGGAACTGGGCACAAATGCTCTTACATTTTCTTCTCTATTGGCACAGCAAAGGGTGCTCAGAAGAGCAATGTGACTTTGCTCCAAGGTCAGACTCAAAGCACCAAGGCAACCTCCACTGACCCCATAGGAGGAAACAGCTACTGATGTGCATTGTCATCCTAGAGCCAAAGGAAACCTTCATTCAGTAACTACTTCCTAATGGTGGTTTCCAGGTCCCCTTCCTCAGCACACCCAAGCTAAACATGGAATGTGAAATAGCTCTACTTCATCTTTCTGAGAATACACCTCTAGTTCTTTAAAACCATCTTGCAGAAATTACCTTACACATATTTGAAAATAAAAGGATTTGGTGAATACCTCCAAAATAAATGACCACCCAAAGAAACAGCACAGAGAGCTAGATTGGTGGAGCATTTGCTTCCTCTGTCCACCTGTTGTTAAAAAACTATTTTGTACACACCTCAGATTTCTTGGAGACTTCTTGCGAGTTGAGTAATGTTGGCAGCTACTGCTGCTCCCTGCCTGAGCTCACAAAACTAAACACGACACTAGACGGGGAATCCACTGGGAAGCCATTCTAGTGGGCCCAGGGGAGAAGAAAGCAAATTGCTCTTAAGAAATGCAACTGCAAGAAGCCCTGAACAGTACAAGTTTTCTGATGAAGTTCATAGTGACTATGGACATTCAATAAGAACCCTGGAAAGAAACAGAAACAGAAAAATCAGCCATCCCAAAGTTCTGAAATGGGAATACTCCTATGTAAATGGTACAGACCTTAGATATTTGGGGGTGGGGGTTTTCTCTAAAACTCCTGGCAAAGAAAAGAACTAGATGGGCCATGATTCATTGTGCACCCTCTATACATACAACTGAGCAATACTTTACAGGTATCTCATGATCCCTCACAATAACTCTAGGAGGCTGGGTGCTGTGGTTATTCTATTTGTTTCTACCACTTTAACAGCAAAGAAAACTGGGGCACCGTGGGGCTCTCCAACTTGTACAAAGACATTGAGATCACAAGTGGAGTAGCTAAGACTGGCACCCAGGTGGTCTGGCCTCTAGATTCTTCATTTTAACACTATGGTGCCCCTAGACAAGATCAAGCCAAAAGCCTGGTGTCTCAACTGCCCATTTGGTTGCAGTTGAGAAAAGTATAAAAAGCTCTAGCTTAAAAAAAAAAACAAACAAACAAAAAAAACCAATCTCTTCCCCACCTCTCACAATAGTGGCGGGACACTAGTTGGCCAGCCATACTGCTGCCTCCTAGCCTGGGTATTTACCCTCACTGGAGATGTCTCCAGCCCAATTCATCAGGTCACCTTGTGATGGCAAGCTTATGTTATGTCACTATTTCTCCCTCCTACTAACTTACCTCAGGACTTCTCTCACTGTCTTAATATCTCTTAGAGGAGAGAGCTCAGATAACAGGCTGAGGGAAGGGATGAGAAGATGGAGAAACCTGGTGGTCCTGGCTAGAGGCAGAGAGCAGCAAGCACACCTGCAGGTCCCAGAGAGGACAGCCCAAGAGTAAGTAAAGCATAGTCTCCTGTCCTTGAGACTCACACCCACAAGGCCAAGAAGGGGACTTCAGTTTACATCAGCTCAGCTCAGACAGGAGAACCTCAGCATTATCACTGCTGTTTTCCTCCAGTGCCACTTCTAGAACTGAAATGTCAAGAATTCCTTTGCTCTAGCCCTTTCTCTGTATGTATCTGACCCCTGATGTCTGTGAATATGGCCAGTGAACAGGGTGAGTCCTTGTCTGAAGTTTTTTTTTTTTTTTCCTTACTGTGAATAATCTTATGTCCAAAAGGAATAAACAAATGTTAAATCTGGGAGCCCAAGTTCCAAATCCTATCTCTCAAACTCTTTTTTTTTTTCTATTTACACCAAAGGGAATAAGGGAGGTAAATAGGAAAAGGAAAATACAGGAAACTTGAATGGTAAGAAATGTCTTTGGTTAGCTTCGAAGTAGGAAAGTCAACACAATGGCAATGTCAGCCCAAGTCCCTGCCCCTCTAAGCGCCCTGGGCTGATAAGCACCCCAGGCTGATAAGTAGCCAGGTGCTCTCACTCTTCAGAAAGCCTAGGTTGTTGCACCAAAGGAGAGGAATGTGATCCCTCTCCAACCTTCCCCTCCCCTTCCCCTCCCGCTTGCTTTCGTCCCTTTGGACTCCTAAAATGCCCTTTCCCTGGTGCAAAGCAACAGAAACAGGAAAGACCTGGGATTGTTCTCCCAGCTACAAACTCTGCACCTCTGCAAGAATTCTGGCTTCAGGCCTAGTCTGTGCCCTGGATGGTCCCACATAGGAGGCTATTTCTACAGCAAGGTGTCACCCTCATTTCAGATCTAGGAGGGAAAATTAGGGCCAGGTGGAGACAGTGTGGAGGCAGCTCTGGGGCTGTAGTGCACACTGGCTTTGAACATCTGCCAGCGACATCCAAGTCTATGCCACAGACTCATGGAAACAATGAATGAGCCTTGCACTCTTAGTGACAACTCTCCCAGTGGATGTTTCTATACTGCCGAGCGTGGATCTACTCAAATCCACAGGGCCAAAGGGCTCCATCCCTGCCCTTGCTCCAACATACTCTAAAATTATAAATCCTCTTCCTCCATTTGCCCTGCACCTCCCCCTCATCCCTGGACCCGGCCCCATCCACCTACCCAAATGGACAGTGGTCTTAGTGACCTTCATCCCCGGGAGCAGAGACTAGCACTAAGAATAGCTCCAGTCATGGGAAAGGGGAACTCACATGTTAAATGTGACTCACAATGGTGTCCCTGTCTGGGGCCCCAATGCAGTCAACAGTACCCTTCACCATGTTGCCCTGCAGTGTCACACATCAGGAATCCAGTGGCATCACTGGGAAACTATGCTTCTCAAGTGGAGCTCTGAGCCACAACAACAGAGGGGTCCCTGTTAGGAGGAGGTCTCTTTCCAAAGCAGTGCGGGAGGGAGGGCGCCACACACCCGCAGGCCCCCTTCTCCCTTGTCCCTGGGCCTCCCCACATACCACCCCCTGGGGGTGGCCATCCCTGCCTTCCTGTTGCAGAGAGGCTGCAGCCGGGAAATTTCCTCTGACTGCTCCTTCCTTCTCAGCTTCTGGGTAAGAGGGAAATTCTTCCTACTACACTGACTGTCCCCACCAGAAGAATATTATACAGAAATGTCAGGTGGGTACCTAGAGGGATCTCAGACCATCAGAGCAAATCAAACTGAAGATGCATCCCCTCATACCCCAACCACCACAGAGAGTACCCCCAAGGCACCATGAATGTAAGACAACCATCTCTTTTGGGGGGGGCGTGCGGGGGGGGGAGATAAAGCTCTAAGTAACTTCCTGCTCTTTTTGGACATATTTTTAAGTCCCTCTTCCTTGTCTAGGAATTTCAAAGCCTATCATCTCTCTCAGTGAAGGTTGGTTATTAAAAAGTCCCCTTCTTTTTTGGTCCTTTAGTTTGAAGCTAAGAACTGAGCAACTTAAATATATACTCTTGGGCTACAATGACATTTTAACAAGATATTCTTGAAAGTAAGCCTTCCCATTTGCCCATTTGATTCTTTCTTCTTGTTTTCCAGGTTTAGGGGTTGCCTGCCCATGGCAATGACCTCGTCACAGCTGGTGAGTGAATAGTGATTTGGGGTTGGACTTCAGATTTTCCTTCTACTCCTTCCTCGTTTCCATTTCAACCACAAGTTCACATTCTGTCATCTGTTCCTGGTGTGAGGCTAACATAAGGCAGTTGACT